TAGCCGTTCAAGGATATGTACTTTTGCAAAGTTGGGTACTTGCAATGTCTGTCAAGTTGTGCATATAGGTTGTGAAATATTGAAATCCTAAAGTATCAAACTTGAATTTTACAATGAAGAAGTCTTTTAGGCAAATTAGAAATAATGTATACAAAAGTTTTGTATTTATATGTACACACAATAAGGTAAATATTGTATCTTGAAATATCGCCTTATTATGAACGTGTATTTAATTAAATCTTTTCATAATAGAAGTAGCACAACATATAAGATAAGGAAACATAATCTTCAATAAGCATCATTAATTTAATATCATGTGAACCGCACAAACGATATCTTCTAGGATTTATATATTGGAACAAGAACAAAACATATCGTACTATGAAATATTTTCTAAAAATTTATATGATTTATATTTTCCAATTGGATTTTACTAAGCCCCTGTTTGATGACCATTATATGGGATTTCTAATGTTTTGAATAGTGATTGTCGATATTGTACCTTCCATTACTTGATAACGTAAAATGAAAAAGGAACAAACTCGAGCCCAAAAGAGGATGACATGTGTGCTGCTCTGGACTGTTGATCACAACTAAGTGGTTGCCCTAATTGATTTTTTCATCCGGTCTTCGTGAGAGGCTTTTTATCATTCATTTTTCATCTTCTTTGTATAATCCCAAAATCTTTGGTTTTTTGGGGTTAATCTATGTGTATTGAGTCTGTAATTCTTCGAATAGAGGTTTAGAGTATAGATCAATGTGGTTGTTCTTGGTCCATTTAAGTAGTTGCATTTGTTCGTCCTATTTTAGGGTTAGGGTTTTGTGGATTTTTCATTTTGTACAGAAGGGTACAATATTGTTCTAAGCCCAAGATCAATGATATCTTGATGCTTATGATCTTTTCTTTTTTCGTCCATGTTTGGAGTGTAAATTTGAGATACTAATATTGTATGACCTTTGGGTTATTTTCGATTTCTTGGAATAATAGTGGTATCAGAGCCATCAATGACTGTTGATGTTCCTTTGTCTGTGGCCTAATTTTGAAAAATCAATTTTAACAACCAAATTTGTTGAGATCTCATTCTTTATTTGGAACCCTAAATCTGTTTGGTTACAGATCTAACATCCTGGTTTCAATTCCGTGGTGGAAATTGAATTAATATTGGTTCTCCAGTGATTTACAGTTTGCATCTTGTTGTTCAATCTCACTCTTCGTGGTTTTCTTGGTTGACCTAAAATTTTTGAGGGTTTTGCCTTGAGGTTTCTGGTTTCAAGTGGTCAACATTAAGGACCACCACTCTAGTTTGCGACATTTTTCTTCCCTAAATCTAAATTTTCAGCTTTATATGTCATATACTTTGTTGATCTTTGTGATGTTACAATATAGATTAATCTTCTCTGTTCATGTTAGTATACGCATGTTGGAAGTGTTTGAATTTCATGCATTTACTTGACCTGTGAAATACATTCACATAATCCCTCTTGGCTTCCTATTCTTGTGTTCAAATTCAGCCTTGACTTGAGGACCCGATCTTCAAGGAATCCTGGTAAATTTGGACATTTGGAACTTAAAGTACATTATACTATCACCACTTGCTATTATTGCACTTTGTGTTCTTTTTTCCTTGTTTCTTGAAATTCCTAGATACTCAATATCTTGTGACACTAGATAATGCTAAGGCTGTGTAGAATAAATTAGAAAAACTTTATTTCGTTAAGTCTTTACTAAATGAACTATTTATTTTAGAAAGATTCTTTAGCTTTAAGATAGACATGTCCCAAGATGTAGATGATAATCTTGATACTTTTAATAAATGGGTACAAGATATTACTAATGTTGGAGACAAGGTATCTGAGGAGTACGAGGTCATTATACTCCTTAACTCCTTACCTGAAGTACATAAAGATGTCAAAAACTGTTATTAAATATTGCCAGGGATACCTTGAACCCTGGGGTGGTTATAAATTCTTTATGAAACAAAGAATTAGAACTTAAATCTGATAGGCATGAAAGGGAATCCAAGCCTTCCTTCACAAAAATATTATATTCTCATTCCTTTTGGAAAATAGGTATAGTGTTCCAAACCTTCCTTCACAAAAATCTTGCATATTAGTCTTTGACCGTTCGGGTCAGTAAGGCGTGCTCATGCCTTAAGAAAAGTTCGTTTCAGCATTGCGCACTTTTTCTTTTGAGCTTCAATTCTGCTTTCCAAAACTTGTGAAATTGAATCCAATTTGATCCAACTCCTTCANACAAAATACAACCAAAATTAAAAACATGAGCGATCATAATCATCAAAATATGAGGAAATATAACAAATTAAATAGCTATTATGCATTCTATCAGATTACTGGAGCTAAGGGAAACATATATTGGCTATGATGGTTATGCACTAGTGTGATGTCAAAATCCAAACATTTGGGCTATGATGAAAATTGGGTTAAGCCGACTTGCCGGTATTATACCTTTCATTGCCTGATAATGCAAAATGAAAAGGGCTCAAACCCGATCCCAAAAGAGGATGTGTATGCTGCTCTGGACTGTTGATCACCAACTGAAAATCTACGGTGATGATGGTTTGTATTCAAGTGACCTAAGTTGTTGCCCTAATTGATTTTTTCATCTAGTCTTCTTGAGAGACTTCTGGAATATCTCTCTCAATGTCTCTTTTCATTCCCTTTTCGTCTACTTTGTATAACCCTAAAATCTCTGGTTTGTTGGGATGAATATGTGTGTATTAAGTCTATATGATTCTTCGATTAGAGGTCTAGAATTGAGATCATTGTGGTTGTTCTTGGTTCACTTAAGTAGCTGCGTTTGTTCGTCCTATTTTAGGGTTAAGGTTCTATGGATTTTTCTTTTTGTACAAAATGGTACAATGTTGTTCTGAGCCCAAGATCGATGATATCTTGATGCTTATATTTTTTTTCATCCATATTTGGAGTGTAAATTTGAGATACTGGTATTGTACGACCTTTGGGTTATTTTCGATTTCTTGGAGTAATAGGTTACGTGCAGAATATTTTATTTTATAAATATGTGATTAAAAATGAGTGCGTTGAAAAAAATGTTGAAATATAGGATTTCAAAAATGAGCTAAACATAAATCATTTACAAAAATAGATGAGCTGTAAGCTAAAAGTCAAAGAAAGCCAACACAATTTTGTAATTAATAATGCCAACGACGTAATTAAGAAAAATAATTAATGTATTATTTTTCTTTATAGAGACGTCAAAATTTTATTGAGATAGCTTTAAGGGAACAACAAAAATGGAGCAGCAAAGCTCAACTAAGCCTACGTTTGGTGGCTATTTTTTTGGGAAGACATTGTTTTAGATATTGATTTTTTTAGAGAATATGTGGTTAAAAGGAAAATGTTTTGATTTATGTGTAAAAAATTTTATTGTTTGAATGTCTAGTTGAAAATGAGTATGTAAAATTTTTTTTTGAAAGAGTATAAGACAAACAAATAGGGCTGGACAAAACTCCCGAAACGAACTAATCGAACCGAGCGATTCTTCATAATTTAAATACCCGAACGAGTATCTGAATTGAGAAGAGACGGGTTTGATTCGGGTCTCGGTTCTAGACCCAGAATCGAATAACCGAATTTAAATAATTTTTTAATTATTTATATTGAATTAATTAATTTTTTTAATTTTT